TATTTACTATAAACTAATGCAAGCTATAATTTAATCCATAGGTATCTCAGTTGCCGAAAAAGAATACCCAGTTTGTGGTAACATTGTGAGATTCCAAGACTATACTTCAGGTTTTCACAATTTCAACAACAATGTCCTTCTTACGCTTCCTTTGTGTGAGCTTCTGCTGTCAGGCCTGGCGGTGAGGAAAATTAAAGCCAAACATCAATAATGGTTGTTTTTGAGTTTTTCATTTTTAAAAACTAAAATTTCTTGTTATGTCTGTAAATATGTGTTTACTCACAGAACAAGTCAACAAGTGGACGGATGTTGGAGACATTATCCTTCTTTAATGACAACAGATACCATCATCAAACTGTTCGAAAGGCATTTCATCACTTTCTTTCTCTGACAAACTTTAAATTTGACTTCTCGTGTTATCAGTGCGGACACCACCCACCGGTGATAATAGCGGGAGAGACAGCAGATGCAAATCGTGACACCGCACCTACTAATGGCATTTCTGGTGGCAGGTGTCATTATGCGCCACAAGTGCCACTGTTTTTGGGGCTAGCTGCCGGTGTTGTCACTGCCTTCGGCTGACCTCGGCACCTCATACTGGCACTTGCGCTGACACCTGCCACAAGTGCCACTGCTTTTGGGACTAGCTGCCAGTGTTGTCACTGACTTCGGCTGACCTCGGCACCTCATACTGGCATTCCGCTGACACCTGCCATTAGTGCCACTGTTTTCGGGGCTAGCGGTCAGTGTTGTCACTGACTTCGGCTGACTTCGGCACCTTCCAAGGGTTGCCGCCATAGACATAATATAAGCATAGACGCCTCATGGACCGCTCCGGCGCAGGAAATACGGCGGCCATCTTGGAGCGGTATACCCTCCTACCTTGCTCAATCAAAACAGCAGAAGATGCCTCAGCACTGAGGGATATTGTTGTTCGGATCTTTGACTATTGATGTGAGGGCTCCACAGACAACATTTCACAAGTAAGATGGACATATTGTGTATATATTGTGATTAGAATATTACTTTACTGTATTTATGTCCACCGGCGAGATACCATAGCTACAGTGCTTGGTGTAATACGGGTTCAGCCCCGCTATGAAGGCTAACTGAGATTCTGTTAATCTAAATTATTAATTATTCTCTAACATTGACTTAGATTATCTGACACAAGGACCTATATTAGAAAGGAAACAATATAACACATATTATAAAACTTATATCATGTGTTATAACATTGACCGGCAAAGTTTACACAGGTGGTAAAGACTATTATTTATATTCTTTCTCTGTCAAAAGTAAGATACATCCTAAATCTTCCGTTTTTGTTTTGAAAGTTTCCTAAAGACACGATGTGAGGAAGAAGAGGGAGATATCTATAAAGAGAGACGGATTCACTGCAGCACGGATGAATCTCACATCGGATTTTGGACTCAATCTCAGCTGCTGAATCTCTCTGAAGCTAGAAATCGTCAGCTGAAAAACATATACATATATCTACATGTTTATACATACATACAAACATGTATCCAATATATATTATTCAGTATTAATCATTATTTATTTGTGCCATTTTTTATCATTTATTTGTGTTTGTATAGTTATATAAATATGTATTGGTATTATTAAATCATTTATTAAATAAATTATGAATGGCTGTGTGCTTTGTAATATGCTTATCATACATCAATATCAGAATATTCCATCCTATTCGACTGTCATAGCCACTAAGCATATTTAAATATGCTGAACTATGCATTAATACATACTTAAATAATACAATTGTTTATAAATGTAGCTTTGATAGACGTTGGAATATGGTTTCCAGTAACAAAAAAGCCTATTTTCGCTGACGAGATTTGGAGTGGCGATTTTGGAGCGGTCAACAGCTTCACTCAGCGTTATACGTTGAAGGCAGTGACAACACTGACCGCTAGCCCCGAAAACAGCGGCACTTGTGCCGCATAATGACACCTGCCACCGGAAGTGCCATTAGTAGGTGCAGTGTCACCTACTAATGGCACTCAGTATCAAACTGAAGATTGATTGGGACAAAATAATGAGAATTACATTCATTTAAGAGATATAAAATAACAATGGTATAATTTTCACCCCCTTCTAGTCAACATACAGTAGCTAATGTCCAGGTTTTTATTGTTTTTTGGGGGGAACAATTAGCATCCTTAAATTGATTGGCGCGATGCCTGGACTACGGCAGCCTGCAGGTGAAGAGCGCGGCGGTTGTATTTGGAAAGACTGAATGAACACTGTACACATGCGTAGCTTTATGGACAAATCAGAACATAAATTTCATATCATTCCAATCTCAACAGGTGGGTGGCGGAGCGCAATGTGGCGGTACATAGCCACAATGCTACGTTACGCCACGTAGCAGTTGTGTGAGGAACAAATGTGTCAAATCCCATCATTCACATGGACACAGAGGCTATAAATGACTGGGCAAGGTGAGAGTTTATTAAATTGACTGAATATGAAGACATGAACTAAAAAATGGAGTATAGACATTTTTTATTGTGTATCTATGAGCCTGCCTCTATTATTAACTTGAATATAACTAGAGTATAACTATTCTTCAGGTTAACTTATTGACATCGTTACAGGTAAATTTTCTTTTTTATCCAATTGATAGGTACTTTTCTCAAACCTTCATTAAAAGAACCACAGACAACGCATATGAATTTTATGACCAAGCTTTTGCAAAAGGAGAAGACACGACAAACTGCTCCTCCGAGTTGTTCACAGAGTGTCCCGACTTCTCTCTGCTAGAGCCTTTTATTTGGGAAAACAATAGTCAGAAAAGATAAACAAAAAGACAGGTGGCAGCTCAATCTAACACACAGGCCATCAGGCTCTTTCCCTTGAGAGCAGAATCTGGAGGGAACAATCATTTCTCAGGAACAGATATTCAACACAGCAATCAAAAAGTTTTAGCACCGTATGTCATTACCAATTAATATTAGACTGAATGTTGATTAATTATTGATTAGCATTAGACTGAAAATGATAACACAAAAATACAAAAATCTCTAACATTCCCCCCTTTTTATCATTTTACCATGCGTGTAAAC